CAGAAAGAGACCTGACATGATATTTTGTTCAGGGCCTGCAGGGTTTACGGCAGTTTGGGATTCCTGCTTGTCTGCAAGGTCGTGGCTCCTGTGTTTTCTGTGGGCTTTTCTTGGCTTGCACAGGGGTGATGAAGGAAGTGGGCGTAGACTGATGTTGGCTTCATAGCGTGCCGAACCACGTCCGAAAAGCTTACCAGCGTTGTTTGTGGGTTCAAAAGCCTCGGATCTGAGCGCTTACAGCTCGGCACTGGCACTGCAAAGTGCTGTTCGATATCGGATATTCATTCTTGGCACCCTCGGATCCCTAGAATTCTCATGTGAGCCCCTTAACTCTGAACCCGTCGACGCAGCCTCGGTCACAGGCCCAAGAGGCCAGCTAATCACCCAGAAGAATCGCAAGGGGAGCTTTGTCGGGTTCTTGTTAAGGGATTCAGTTTAAGTTACCACAACAAGGAAATCATATTATTTACTATAGATCCCTATACTATATTATGGTAACTTAAGTTAGGATCCTTAACAAGAATCCGGTTTGTTGCTGTCGAGCCCAGGAGAACCTCCGAGAGAGATTTCCCGGGAAGTTTCCCGGGAGATGTCCAGGGAGCCGTCGAAGGCGATCTCTACTCCGAAGGGCCTTGGATTCTGGTACGGTGTTTATTTGGCCTCGGAGTTTAGGGTTTTGGGTTTTAGGGCCTTGGATTCTATTTTTTGGGGTTCAGTGTCTCGTTGCTGGGGAGGTCGCTGTTCTTGCACTACTGAAAACTGTATATCTATTTGGATGAAGTGCTTGCTGTGGGCGTGCTATGGCGGCCAAAGCCTGGCTGACAGTCAGATCGGCTTCACCAACACTGAAAGCCGCATCCGATTCGGACGGAGGGTTGACGAGACGATCTAATGCGCTTCGCAGACAGCTGTAAATTCCCCTGCATATCCACCCCATGTACACCCGTGTAAACCCGTGTGATCCCTCAATTCTCCGACAGTCCAGATTCAAGAGATGGAGGATCCGGGAAATTTGCTTTTGCGGCTTGTTGGCCGCCTAACTGGATCGGCTTGAGCCCTGGACTTTAAAGCCTGGACCCTAGAGCCAAGTAGATTTTCCAACAGATTTGCAGGAATCTTCAGTATGACATCACCAGCAAATGTCTGGCAGAGGGTAGCTTGAAGCGTAGAACTTCTTCCTCTTACACTGGACATGGGCTGATGGAGTGGGGGTGTTAATGAACTTTGTTGTTAGAACTGGGCCTCATCGGGCTTTGGCGTCGAGGATTGGTTTTTGAGTTTGGTGTGCTTCAGAATTTCAGGGGAGGGGATGTCATGGTGCGGTCCGATGCAGGAGATGTTCAAAGAGCCGCCAAAGGAGATGCCAAAGGAGCCACTGAGGCCACCAGCCAGCGATTCACAGGAGGACGGCTGCAGAGTCCCTTGAGCCCTGTCTTCGATTGCCTTGAGAGTGCGTTTGGGAGCCTTGGAGGAGTCAGAAGCCGTAAGCTGCCCGGGAAGCAGCTACCACTCCCTGACGCTTCGTCTGGTTTGGGGTTTCCGTGTTTCTGCTGTGGTTTTGCGTGATACCTTGAAGGTCTAGGGGTTTGAGGTGCAGGGTTGAAAGGATGAGCGACTCAGTGAGGCTGTCTGTGCTAGGGTGTCAGGAACTGTTTCGGTTTCGAGGTTATCAACAGCCTTTGTTTGGTACAGTTCAGCACCTTTCAACAAGGCAGGCGATTCAAGCTCTGCTGCTTTTGCATTGGCAGACTGCTTTAAAACAGCTCCCTCTGACACTACCGGAGTTCGCAGCCGTCACTCAGTGCAACCCGCAGAAGCCAAAGCTTGAGTAAACCGAGCTGCAGCGTGTTGTGACACTGCCCGCATGCGTGCGGTGTTTTCGGAAGTTATCGGTCTTCGTGAAAGTGTGCATCTTCTTGGCAGTCTGCTGAAGTCATACCAGTCGCACCATGTCTTGGTGGTTGTCCAGTTTGCGGCTGCTTGTATGATCCGATAGTCTGCGATCATCTGAGGAGCGAGTGACTTGCTTTTGGCTTCTTTGGCCGCTGGAGCAACCCATGCAAAGGAGAGGTGCAGAAACGTGCCACAGTGTCAGAGTGCCCACAGAGATCTCCACAAATTCAGTGCTCTCCAGCAGCCTCAAGGAATTCGGGGACTCAGTGGCTCCTTTTCTGGCGCGTGCTCGGAGACCTTGGCTTGATGCCTGTCCTTGGTATGGGCTCCGAATTTGTTGCCAATGCTGTAACTTTGCGCTGCCGCGCTCGTGGTGGGATCCTCGCCCCGCACATCTTGTGATCTAGACAGCAAGAGCGAAGGACTAGTATGGTTGTCAGATCACACCAAGAGCGCTGCCAGCCTCTCCAGAATCCTTCGCAAGCCCGGAGGAAAACAGAGAACCGAACGTCGTCATGGATTCCAAAAGCATCTGTGACAAGTGCAAAAGATCGAGTCAAGCCGGATTGTGGCGTCTCGTGACCATAACATGAATCTGGGTTTTGTGTAACAACACACACACACACACATATATATATATACACATATATATATAGGATACACATGTGTATACAAATATGATTATTCTATGGTATACGAATAAATATATGTCATATCAAAACATATTACACACAGAGAGAGAGATCTATCTATATATATATATCCCCTCCCCTAAACCCTGACGAAAGAAAAAGATATATATATATATGTATATATATGTATATATACGTGTATATATATATATATACATATATATATATACATATATATTTGTATGGATAGAGAGAGAGAGAGAGAGAGAGAGAGAGCGAGAGCGAGAGAGAGAGAGAGAGAGAGACTGCACTTTGGCAATGCCGCCGCAAGCTCTCATGTAGAGAGTTAAACGGACAAGCCGGACATGCATGAGCTTACGAGGCCAAGGTATGCGTCAGGCTACGACAAGGGCTGTCCGTTCACCTGGTGTCCTCATGAACGGTTTGCGGTCACGGGCAGTAGCGCCTACTCAACCACTGGCGGTGATTGCAAAGCATCGTGCAGCAGAGCTCGCATCAAGAGGGGGTGATCCCCATAATATTGCAACGTGCCCCAAGCAGAAGCATTTCACAACAAAGCAAGGGAGCCGGCATCTGGGGAAGGTTTCACCCATTGCATGGAGCAAATGCTCGCCATCGGCAGGCGACCATCCTTTGACCCGGACCCGATGTCCCAACATTGTGCTTTGTATGGCTTTTGGTACTTGAAGGTTTAGGGATGGGCTGCTTGACCTATACTTCCCAAGCCTCGAAGCCGGAAAGCCTCGAGCCCGAATCACACAATTCTGCAGTCAACTCTCGTAGTGCCATTGGCTGCCATTCATCACTACGTGGCAACGAGGTCTAGCAATCGTGCGAAGAGCTGCATGTCCCTGATGCGGGAGACTCCCAGAGTTCAGATTCCAAAGCCGAACAGAAGCTCTCTCTATATATACATACATATATACACATGCATATATATATATGTATATGTATATGTATATGTATATGTACATGTATGTATGTATATATATATATATTTATTTATTTATTTGTTTATTTATCGGCAACCCACGGGTCCGTGCAGTTGCGGAGGCGACTAGGGTGAGCTGAAGCAGCAATGGACCTCACCACGACGCTTGGCTCCAGTCGAGTCCTACGATTTTCTGACCGCTGGATGTAGGGCTTGGGGCTCTGACCCTCATGCCCCCAGAAAGCTGACAAATCCTAAGTAAAGCTTTAAGAACCCTAAAGCTCCAAGAAAACTCTAAAGCCCTAGATCCTAAGGCCTTTAATGCCTAATCCCTGAAACTCCGAAGCCTAGGATGTCACATGATGTAGTGTCCATATTCTCTAATTACAACGTGTTGTCAACAAATGCGGGCTTGAAGCTGGGGATGTCTCAACAGACCGCCTCTGGTCCCAGATGGGTGAAAGGGGGACGGTTGGTCGTGACCCGGTGAATCCCACACCTCTGCGTGAGCCTTCCGACTGACAGTAACATGGGCGGAGGGAAATGAGGTGTCAACACAAAGAGAAACTCCGAAGCTCCGAAGCGCATGGCTCTGTGGATCTGAGGAGCCGTGGCTTTTCGTGGGCCAGGCGGGCGACAGGCCATCTCCGAGCAGAGTCTCTGGTTCCTTCTTGAATTCGGAACGCGTTTCATCTTAATGGGGGCTTCACCGCTTAGCCTACAACTGGTCGGGTCTTTGAACTTGCATACTCCTTCTTCTGTTTTGGTGGGTCGCCGGGTGACCTGATCGCTGCAGGTAGTTTGCATGCGTGCTGTGCGGAACTCCCATGTGATGCTGCTGTGGCGAATGGATAGTGTGTCTCAGTTCGACTGCCACAGTCTTAACCTGGATGGCGATGATGAACTCTGTGTTGTCACTTGAACAACCTCCAGATCATCGAGCATCATGGAAATGGCCCTTAACTGCCGCAGTCCTGAACCCCCCGCACCCCAAACCTCGAAATAAACCCCAAAATCCACCCAAGCCCAACCCCTGTATCACCACGTCGAGGCAGCTCGACCGGCCCCTGCCTGGACATCGAGAACCTCCTGGATCCCGAGCTCAAAAAGAGGACTGAGAAGACCGGTGGTTGTGGAGAGACCATGTTAGGCTTCCTTCAGAGTTTGGGGTTCTGGTTTTAGATGGTTCTGGTTTCGGAGGCTTTTGGGTTTAGGGTGTAGCGCATCTGTTGCCGGAGCCCAGTACCCTGCTGTGCACGTGACAGCATGCACCACCCAAGTCTTGATGTGGGTCGTCAGCTCTGCGCACGTGAGTTGGCTTCTGAACTGACGAAGCATGATCATGCGACATTCGTGAGAATCCCAAATTTCGGCAACATGGACGCCGAGGATATTTCCAGGCAAGTATCCACATAAACAGTGGTGCTCCCTGGTTGCTACACTTCTTGTTTCCTTCTGTAGGAGCTTTGCCCGCAGAAAGCCTAAAGGGTCTAAAGTACTTACATGCCCCCAAGGCATTGCATTCTTAAACCTTATCAAGCTTAAGCCTAAGCCCGGAAGCCCCGCGCAAGCCCCTAAAGGGGTTTTCGGGCCTGTCTTCTCGAGGTCTGACTGTCCCCTCAGATATGCTAACTAACTCCCAAGTCGTCTTCCACTTATTCAGGCCCGTAAAGCTCAAACCCCAAGCCCTATAAAGCCTACAAGCCCTATAAACCCTCTAGAATCTAGAAGCCCTATAAAGCCGAAACGCCCTAGAAACCCTAAAAACCCTATAAAGCCTAAAACCCCCTAAACCCCTAGAAGCCCTAAAGCCCATCTCGTCTCTCGTGTGCGAAGGCTGGGGGAACCACTGGAGCGACCTCTCAGGGCTGCGCGGCCCCAGAGCCCACACGAGGCCTGGCTGGGGCCGTCTTTGAAAAGCTGAGTCTGGGGCTTGAAGGTTGGGGGTTTCGGGGCCTTACGGTGCCTTGTTTGGGGATGTTGGGTTAGGGTTTCGAGTTTCGGGGTTTGTATTTGGGGTTGGGTTACTCTAATACTGATCTATAGGGTTCAGGGTGGTTGGTCTGTTCGGGGGAAGGGCAGGGGTCGATTGCTTTGTGTCGGGGTGGAGTTCTGGAGAGTGGTTTCCAGATACTCGAATTCAAGAGCCAAGATTGGGGTTTAGGGATCTGGTGCTCTGTGACTGCCAGGCACAGTTGATGAGTGAGCTGTACGCCCGCATCGCCCAAAAATGCGGCAAGCCCCTCCTAGATGAGGTTGCAGGTGGCTGGCCCAGTGATTGAGCTTCAAAGTCGATGATCAGTGGTTTCGTTTCGGTCTTCACTTGTGGCTTCAGCAACCCAGGTCCGAACAGCCACGAGCGTTTCGATGCGAGCTTGGAGAATGCAGCCCGGTTGACCTTCCAGAAGTTAGGAAGCCGGAGCATCTGCAATACCTACTTAGATCAAACACAAATGCATACATACATATATACATACGTACATACATACATACATACATACATACATACATACATATATATCTGT